TAACAGTTAAAATGACTGACGACCACTCTGTAGCAACTATGTTTAATAGGGTGCAACTATTCGGGTAATTTCGACATGAAGAACACAACGGTCAAAATATCGGTCGTGACTGGAAAGTCTGAGCTCACACAAGAGCCGTTCACCCAGTCGTCAGCCGAGTGGAACGACTGGCAGCTGCCACCGATGGTCCGCTCCTGTCCGATCTGTGTCTTGCAATATTCAACCCGCGTGCCCACGATAACCCTGGCATTTAGGTCTGTAGGATCCCAGCAGATATCCCAGCGGGCGACCAAGAATCTTGCATCTGGCTGCAGAACGTAGTCTCCCTAAAGCAGACAGCGAACAGCGAAAACGCTGTTGGCGAACGCTTATGCTGCAGTACTACGGTACAGTGGGTCAGAACAAAACTCAGACCTTCAGGTGATATCTGAACAGGTCCCTACCCGGCAGCGTGAAACCCACTCGCCTCCCTGGTGCACTGGCAAAGGCTTACTGATAAAGCCACAATACAGACACAGTCCACCCAGTCTCAGTTGAACGTTAGTCGGTCCCCTCCCCCTCTTCCCGTACGACGTCGCACTGGCATCCGTCTTTACATCTGCATCAACTGAACGCAGCACCAGTAGGCTTCCGCCGTCATGCTCCACATCACCTGCAGCTGGCTACGTACAGCTCTACATAGACCTTAGCAGCCTCCGTCCTACTGCCAATCCCTGCTATCGTGCTTAGCGACCATTTTGACCATCCCCGCTGCACCTTGAGTTCAATACGACAGGGCTACAGATGACGTGGCTCGCGGGCCAACAACCTATCATAGCAGAGCGGGTGGCTGACACGATCGAGCCGACTGAAGAGAGCTTACGCCGCGCAGGTCTGTTCGAGAATTGAATGGGCGAAGACGTTTCGCAAGACCTTGTACACCGTCGAACGAGGCCTTGCAGCCTCGTTCACGACGAATGAGGTTTTGATCGATATCGCCGAGAACCTGGAGAGTACACACTGCGACGATATAAATCCGTGACCCCCGCGACCTGGTATTCAGTCGACCTACAATACACTTCGCTTTCTATCGTTGATAGAGGATATTCTTCGTAAAATTTAATGCTACAAACTTTGTACACCGCGTCATGTGGGCTTGGCTCCTGCAAATTGTAACGTGAATGTTGAGGTTCGGTGTCGTATGTTTCGTCCTGTTGGATCGTAACATAGGGAAAGTGTTCAGAAATCATACACATATGTATGGCACCATAGGTACATCAAGAGTTCATGCTGATCATTTCAAGTCTGAGAGGCAAGTAGAAAAATGTATAATACTATCGACGACCATGAGCTCGGTTCGCAGTCATAGAATGGTATCCAGCGTACCAGACAACATTACTACAGCTCAATCTCCCGCACACCATCCTTGTCCACGACTTTGACCTTGAAGCGCTCCGGCGAGACTACTAGACGCTTCGAGATCTCGGCGATGCACCTCTTGAGAGTCTCAATGCCCTCCTCCAGTGACGCCTCTGGGTCATGGTATCTACACACCGAGTCTAGATTAGCAACAAGTAGATGTTTGAGACGGGACTATTACCTGTCCAGTAAACTGAGGGCAAAGTAGCTGCCATAGCCATGAGCAGCAAAAGGTACTTCCACAAGCGTGCCGAGGTAGTCGAGCCAGTACAGGTGTGGTGTGTAATCACTGGTGTCGTAGCCACCGAGTAGAAGGTTGACGGAATATGGCGATCTGCTGCGCAGAGACTGCGCGAGGGTCTTGCGGACCCACGAGGCGGCTGATGGAGGGCGGAGAGGGAGGGAGTTGCGGATTTGGTATAGGCGAATGTTTCGTTCGACGTATTCCGCGAACTGGACAGTATCGCCTACAGCCGTGGTTGTTTGAATAGTGCTCGCCAGAGCCATGCAGTAAGCACGTACCGGGTTCTCCAGAATAAGCCATGAGTAGGTGGGGGTTGAGTTCTATGATCTTGTCGACGTCGTTCTTGACCTTGATGACCGAATGGGCCGCGGTGGTGTCTGCGGCAACGAGCACATAGCCCTTTCCTGTGATGCCAAACGAGACCTCCATGGTTGAACAGGCGTAAGAGTAAGAGTGATGTTGGGAGGAGGACGAAGGAGAGGTGAGAACGCGCAACGCTATAGGACGCGTCACTTCCTTAGACGCCCATGAGACTCGCGACTGTCAATGGCGCTTACACAACTCGGTCTCTCGCTCGTGCTTAGCCGGTCAGGGCGTTGCAAAGTTTGCATTTACCGTACAACACTCACGTACGATCTCTAAGATGTCTGCGGTGAACGAGCTGAAAGTCCGTAAACGCGATAACTACCCGTTCTTACTGTCGTATCGCACTCGGTGGTAAGAGAACGGTTGACAACTAGTCACATATATCACGAGCTAAACTGCGTGGTTCCATAGGAGCGACAATGACCAATACGCCCATGTCAACAACTCAATCTACTTTCATTTTTTTGACTCCGTGGTCAACACTTATCTCATCCGTCACTGCGGCTTGAAACCGCCGACCTCACCACTCATCGGACTTGTGGTGTCTTCGTATTGCCACTTCTTCGCTCCTGCGTCATTTCCGGTGGTCTTGGACTTGGGGCTGCGCGTCGTCAAGTTGGGAAACAGCTCAGTCGCGTACGAAATAGGCGTCTTTGAGGAGGGGAAAGAGGTCCCAAACGCGGTCGGAGGGTACACTCACGTCTTTGTGGACAACGCTAGTCGAAAAAGCACGGCGATAGATGCTGCAACTAGGAGTGGGTTACAGAATTTGTATACTTCACCAGACATCCCTCAGTCTAAGCTATGAATATCTTGCTCATATGATGTATTTTACGACAGTGAGGGCATCATGACAGTCCTTACATCCCATACTCAACATTTCCAACACATCTCACAACACCGATGGCGTCCAACAGTTTAACAGAACGAGATCTCAAGGCCAACCTAGTGCCGAAGTCAGTACCATTGCCATGGCCATAAGGTGGATTGCCGAGCGACTGCATTCTACACTTACATTCTTTCCCTGGCAGGCGACTTGAACGTGGGTATCGTCAGGCTTATGAAAAGCGTCCTTGCAGTCTGGCTTAGTGCCTGCGATACGATTTGAGTTGCAGCTAGAAGCGAAACGAAAACAACGACCTTACACGTTTTCCCTTCACCCTTGCAGCCAGCATTGGTATATCTACGAAATACTCGATCAGCAATCATGGTATGATGGAATACGGCATAGGCCTGTACTTGAAGCTCGCTGTTTCTGAGAATTTAAGACTGTAAAAGTAATTGTCAGCCATGACAGACAGGGTCACTGGCCGAGGAACGCACGGGGGAATCAAAGAGATGTCGGTGCTAGATCCCGACCCAGGCTGGCCCGGAGTAGGATCTTTCAAGGTAGTCTCAACGAGGGTGCATCGCTCGCCGTTGGCCCCGCATTTTCCTGTAAGTTATGAGTGTGTTGGGTAACCCAAAGACTTACAGTAGTGCATCCTGTAATCGACATACCATCCTGCAAAAACCTGGGCAACCAGATCAGCTAGATCCAAACATTTGACTCAGTACTAAGAGTAGCATGACGTACGAGATAGCAGCGATCAGTGGACCGTTAATTGTCGTGTCCTTCCCAGACGCCAACGTCTTGCCGTTGGCTTTCAGAACAGGCTGCTCCATTTCGTCAGAGAAATCAAACAAAAGATATGGTATGAAATCTTTTACTGTTCCGTGTTTACAGCTTGTAGGGACGGCATCAATGATTAGACGTGAGGGGCAAACAGTAATCAACTTATATACTCACTTATTTTTGAAAGTAATATGATGCGTCTCGGCCGTCATCAAACCCAAGCCAACGAGAGCGGCTTGAATCATCTCATAGTTGATTGCGACCATACCGATGAGCTTGTACAAAGGTATGTAGCTGAACGGCGGTGTGGAACTTTTGTGCAGCCTTGCGCTAGCTATGTGTACCTTTATAGACATGGACAAGCGTTAGACTGCCTAGTGAACGCAGATGTGACATCAATCCGAAGACGCATGACGGTAGTGCAATAGGGTGAACCATCATTTTTGGCATTCTTCATCACGGTCAGAGTTTCGGCTTGCAGCAGGGAGATGACCGTCTAGTGCATCCCTGACGCGCAGACACTGCATCGACAGACAGCCGACCTGCGTTTTAGATACACCTATACCTCCATTGGTGAGCGGAAAGACGGAGTTAAGGTTTGTGAGGAGCTAGTTGCATTGTAGCCTACCCGATAGACGAATATTTGAATACCCAGCTGACTGGCTCTGCCGTGAAACGGCCACGCTCACCACATGCGGCATTGATCATGAGTTACACCAAGAGCGTCCTTCGTATTCAGAATTGATCGCCGCTTACGCTAAGTTGTACGAGTCAGGAAGTAGTGCTTTGCACAGGTGAGCGAGTGAAAGTCTCCCCGACATTAGCAAAGCCCTGGAATGCACATATAATTCGCTTACAGTGATGCGTGCCAGGCACTGCCAGCAGAGAATTAGCCATCTCATCGTATCTCGGCTCTCCTGCACGCTCGCGCCCGAGAGGCTAAACTCTGTCACATCTCAGATCCAGCGGCACTGGCGGCTCGATGCACATCGGAGAATGGAGCCCAGTGCTACGGTCGAGTATCCAATATCATCGGAATATCGGAAAATAGCAACAGAATTGATATTTCCGGTGGGTTCTATGCCTGAGCGCTATCCGTTTGTCATGATAGAGGCTACAATTTTTGAGACAATTGAAGAGCGGAATGCCGTTATAGTGTTCGTAGTTCGAGAAGGCGATGTGAGTACTTATGAAACGTAGACACGCACACGGTTCCCTGAGCATTGGCGGAAGGCACTACACAGCTACTGGAGTTTGTTGTGAAGAACGATCTTGATCATTGAATGATGTGCGACCGCCGAAGGAACGTCGTAGAGTACTAGGCCAATGCCTGGTCGCCTAGACTCCATGACGGGTAAAGCCTTGCCGATTTGTCTAGGGCACTTGGCGCAGTGGTAGCGCGCCCGCTTTGCATGTCCGTGAGTCGTGATTGCGGAAGGCCGTGGGTTCAATCCCCACAGTGTCCATCTACTGCACCTCGTGTATACGTACCGTTTTGACTCGAGTCGTTCCGCTTTTTCTGATCTAGATCGATCAGATTCGGTCTACTTAGTACCCTACAGTGTCGACTCAAATATCTCCTTTAATTCAATGTTATCGACACTAGCGACGACGACTCGTCGACGGCCTCCGTGGTAGATCCGCCATGTGCTGAAATTAGCTGTCAAAGAGCTCCACTACACACGAGATCCAAAGAAATTGCAGTACGGCCAGAAGGGGGAGGGGGCGAATATAGCCACCGAAGCAACTTCTCCCTTCCAGCGCAGAAGAGGGATACACGCGTGACGCGAGGCGGCGTAGCGAGCATGCAGCTTGAAAGTGATGGTGTATGATGCGCGGTGCCTTCGCTGGGGTCAGTAGAGTACCTACATTGAGAAATTAAATCAGAATGCTTACCGTAGTCAGACATCGGGATCACCGGCTGCGTGCAATGACGAGGGGTGCTGAATCAACGAACTGGCAGTCTTTGTACGTGTTCGAATCTGAGCATGGAGGATAGATACGTGAAAGACAGATTGCTTATACCATGCTGTAGAGCTACCAAGCCATCTGAGTGGTCATTGCGTCTTATGAACACTCCCGCGGCTAGCCACGCCATCGAGTCTCCATTCATCTCGCGCTCAAATGGCGGAGACACGCTGTCTTTCTAGAATTGAGTGGGCTCAAACTGGTATTATTTTTTTGAAATGACCCGTATACATACCGCATCACATGCTAAAACGAACTTGAAATACTTTTACACTGCGAAGGTAGAACATATCAATAACCGTTTTCTATCTTTCCAAGAATGCGCTCACGAGTCATCGAAGGACAAATCGATAAAGATGACATCGCCATGGCTGCTACAACTTATGACAAATAGTGTTTTATATGTGCGAGGGAACCTACTGATGCCTTTGCCATATTGACGACGTCGTGGTCTCGGAGAAAAGCAGGGCAGGTACATGATGGCGAGGGGGCGCTCACGTGACCAAGGTTGGATGGAGGCGCGGTTCACGCGTGCAGTTCGTGCGTGATTCTGTCTTTGCCACAGACCTTTACGATCTCCATTACCGCGGATATACTCATAACATACTTCTTATGTCATACAACCCTAAGACTCCTTCTCGTCATCGTTCTCGGTCGGAGACGAGAACGCCTCTCGCAGGTTCCGGAGTCGCAGGCTCTAACGGCTACGCGCTGAATCCATCGCCTACGAAAGGCAGGGCAGACCTCACCAATCCGTTCATCAGCTCTTCGAAAATAACAAGCTCAGCCAAAAGTCGACAGACTTCACCCGTTAAACGACCGACCTCTGGGTCCTACGAAGTCACCGAACGTCTGCGCCGTCAGGCTAGCACAGGTGTCATCCGAAAGGGCGGCGTAGAAAGTAGACTCGACGTTGTCACCAGAGACTACGTTCCTCCACCAAAGAAGCCCGAGGTCAAGCGGGCAAGGTCACAGCCCGCAGTGAGCTTCATAGTTTCGCACTTATATCTATACCACTGACGCCCCAGACCGCAGAGGGACTCCCGGGACCGTTTCATCACAACTCGCGACACGGCGGTAGACGAAGTTGTAGCATCACTGGACATGATGAACCTCAACACCGAGCCGTCTTCGCCAGGTCATACTGCACGACTAGCCGCCGCCGCCGGAGTCCCTATCAACAAACGGGTCCTCGCGTACCATGAACCTCCTCCACCGGCATCCTCAGACACCATGCTTTCACAACAAAGAGAACTCGTGAAACCCCTGTACGCTCGTCCTGGCGCTCTCCCCTCCTCAACCGCCTCGACAACGAATAAAACACGACGAATCCCAACACAGCCCGAGCGAGTGCTCGACGCGCCAGGCATCGCTGATGACTTCTACCTCAACCTCGTCAGCTGGGGTGCTATGAACGTACTTGCTGTTGCTTTAGATACTGCGACGTACATTTGGAAGGCGGAATCCGGCGAGGTCGTCGAACTAGGCGAAGCACCCGAGGGATCATATGTCGCGTCCGTCGACTTCTCTGCGGACGGCCAGTTCCTCGGCGTTGGTCTTGCTACAGGAGAAGTGGAACTGTGGGACGTCGAGACACAGACAAAGCTGAGGACAATGACTGGTCATTCCGTGCAAGTCGCCTGCCTGTCTTGGAACCAACACATCTTGAGTTCTGGTTGCGCCGACGGAAGCATTTGGCACCACGATGTCCGAGTAGCGCGGCACAAGGTCGGCGAGCTCCTCGGTCATACAGGTGAAGTTTGCGGCATGAAGTGGCGAGAAGATGGCGAACTCCTGGCTAGTGGAGGCAATGACAATGTCGTGAACGTCTGGGACGGTCGTGTTGGCGATGTCGCCTCTGGCTCCAGGAGTACCGCCCGGTGGACGAAGCGGAATCACACTGCTGCCGTCAAAGTAAGTCTCTCCTTTATAAAGTACGTTCAAGTGGGCTGACATTGTGTGGTCAGGCTCTCGCATGGTGTCCTTGGCAGCCAGCGCTCCTCGCTTCGGGCGGAGGCACTAATGATGCTACCGTTCATGTCTGGAATACGACCACAGGCGCACGCCTTCATTCGCTCACCACACCGTCCCAAATCACCTCCATCCAGTGGTCTCCGCACCGCAAAGAGTTCCTCACGACGCATGGCTTCCCGACGAACTCTATCATGATCCACAGTTATCCCTCCATGGAACGCGTAGCCGAAATCCGCGACGCGCACGATTCTCGCGTCCTTTGGAGCTCAATCAGCCCTGCAGGAGATATAGTGTGCACCGGTGCAGGCGACGAGAACCTGAAATTCTGGAGAGTATGGGACGTCCCCAAGGTGAAGAAGACGAAGGAGGCCAAAGAGTTGGGGCGTTCAAGTACGCATAGTGGTATTCTGGCCATTCGCTAAGCGCTCTTTTTTTGCTACTCCCTTTACAATGTTCTGGTAGGAGTCTTTTCATTGTCTACATGTACAGCTTCGAGTATATCTTGATTCGATACAGACCCCTCGAGGGAGAAACATAATCATCGCACCCGTGACAGAGTCAAGTGTCTGATGAGGAATGATAAAAACGAATTACGAATAGAATACCGACGGCCCAGCAACGTGATATGTGCACTGAAGCCCAACATATGATATACATAATTATTTGCTCTGAGGACCTGAACACACTTCCCTATGTCCTCGTGCCCATGCGGTCTGGTGAGCAAAGTCAACATCCTAGCCCGCAACATGACGCCTAGATGAACTTACGCGTAGACACGATCGCGAGCAGAAGAACCTCTGCCTGCAGCCAGTGCAGACCTTAAGATTCTTGGGACTGCCGCAGTTGGCACAAGCGGTGTGGCTCGGGTTGTCTCTCCGTGACTCTGACACGCCTTCCTCTACGACCCTACCAGTAGGGTTGCCGTCTGCATCGTACACAGGGAAAGTCATGAGAGCCTGGCCCCTCCGGAGAGTTTGGTTGTGTTCAGCGAGCGTCGCGCGGACGCTTTGGCCACCGTCGTCCACGTCAGTGAAGTCTTGGTTGAGATGCTTGCTCATGCTTCGCAAAGACGCAGGGGAGTCAAAGGCGCCGGACACGGCCTTTTGCGTCTCCTCTACAGAGAAGAACTCAAGGTTGTAAGCAGAGGAATACGGCAGAGAGGCGTAGTTCATCGATGCAAACATCTCTCTGAGAGTTTCTTCGCGCCCGGCGTTGTTCTTGTCCGCAGTACGTAGGAGGTCGGCCCAGTGCCAGGGCGTGACCTCCGCCGGTGGATGAGTCCCGGAGCCTCCGAGGATCACGACAGCGCCGGTACTTTCTCCTGCGGGTATTACTTCTTCAACCTGAACAGCGAGCGATTATGAGCAAAACCGCATGCATACAGCGAAGGGAGAAAGGTACTTTGATATCGAAGTACCAGTTGTCACCGAAGTCATACTGTATACACATCGTGTCCCCCTTTTCTCGAACGATGTGCACAATCTGCCAACTGTCAGGAATGCCGTCAGTTACTCAACTAACATTGCAAAAGGATGAAGATTGGGCATACTCGTCGTCCGGGATAAACCCATAACCAGTCTGCGGCAGATGCATCATGTCTACAGCATCACAGCCCTGATACACAACGTCAAATGTCACCATTCCTCTGAAGTGATACTGTACACTCACCTTAGGTCCGAAGAGCGCGCCGTCCGTTAGGTCGTGGATGACGTGTGCATGCAAGTTGCGAATACTTCCAGAGTTATTCTTTTGCTAACGGGCTGTGAAGGTAAGGCACTCACAATCTGAACATAGGGGTGAAAACTTTGTCGACGAAGACTGACAACGTCAGGCCACCGGAGACTCGCACTTTACGCCACAACCTATCCTGTGTTGAGTTTGGCAACTTCGGCATATGCCTATAATGGCAGCCACAGAGTTAGTATCTGCGTAATTCTCCGGCGAAGCTTGACATACACGGCATGTACATGCAAGACGTAGTCCCTAGAACTGTACTCCTCGATGTTCATAGCTTGTAACGCCTCGAGCTATTGAGCTTCAGCGTGTATAAGACGCGTATTGTGCACTTTCGATATACTGACCTTCTTGTCAATCAAAGCATTTACAAATTGCTGCTCTGGAGTGGGCCGCCCATTGCGATACATATATTGAATTGTACGCTTGCATGAATAAATATTCATGATCAGCCAAGTTTTCATCACGTCGGCGTTCAGTGACCAACTTACTTGTCTGTTGTATATTCTTTTGCCGTTGATTTCCTCTTCGCCCTCTTTGTTGTACTAGACCTTCCGTCAGCTTCCGTTAGCATTTGTTGAGAGTTTACGTACCGGGAACAAACCCCAATGAGCGATGCGACCATTCGGATCCTTGCGCGGCTCGTAAATCAGTGGGTCTATGTAGTATACAGTTCAACTTGATTGTCCCCTGGGGGCCCCAATAATACTCGATGTGCACATACCTTCCCAAAAGATTTCGTCGCAGCCGACGGCGTGATCGTCTTTGTGAAATTTGACAAATTTTGGGATCTTGGGAGCGCCGGCAGGAGTCTTGCGGCGGTTAGCTACCAACTCCTTTCTTCTGTGATCCATGAGTGGCAGGTGGGCCCAATGTGCGCGGTGATACCGGTGAGGGTTGGGACCTAGTGGCCTACGGGGACGGCCGACGGAAGTCTAGTCCCCAGAATGGCGTGCCCCTTTCGGCGCCACGAAGGAATGAAGCACTGCGCCAGTACTTTACAATATATGGCATGAGCTGTGGCTCAAGACCGCCGCAAAACGTACCTGAAATCTGGAATCGAATGAGTACAGGGTTGCACTCCTGGGACCTGAGGCGAGGGGCTGGATATGAGCCTATGAGCACGAAACCTCCAAAAAGTACACTCCCTGGCGGGGAGTCGAACCCCGCTTTCGCGCGCACCGCTGAAATGATGACAGGCGCGTGTACTAACCGATATACTACCAGGGATTGATAAAGACATGTTCTGGTATTATTATATATCATTGGCGAAAATGGATTTGCAGTCAAGCAAGTAAATAATCCTAACAAGAATTTAGCCAGCACTCTCTCAGTTATATCAGAGCCTTGTTAAAGATGAAAGATGAAGTGCTATTGAAATTAGGCTGTAATGCTCGGAGGTTCGCCACGTGGTTATCTTATCTCGAGGCTGAACCCGTTTGAACTCAAGCTCCCATTTGGCTACAACCACTAACACTCCAGGTCGGTACACGGCTGTGACGCCTCCAAACACTGAGCTGAACGTACACCGATAATGACATGTCGCACAATGCTTCAAACGATAGAAAGGCATCGTATAAGGTACCTCCTGCGGCGGTAAGAGATGCATCAACTTCACAAGAGGCTAGGCGCAAGAAAGTGAGTGCAATAATGTCGATTCAATGAGTTGACTTACGAGGACACAATCATAGGCGTTGGAAGAACAGAAACGTGTGCGCGGTCCTCAGCACTGTCATCACACCTTATCTTAACTCGACACCCGAACCACTTTCTAGAGGCGCGCCGAACGCTTCGACTCCTCACGACAGCTTGATTTCTTTGCCGATCTGACTCTCGGGGCGTCGGATGACGAAGAAGAGAATGCTACGAACGAGCCTATGCGCGAAGGAGTGGCACAGTTTGCCTCGTTACTGCCGTCGACGTCCAGCGTCCCCGCCATTGAGCCAGGATCGTTTGCCGCGGAACCTCAAGGACCCGTTCTCGACAGCTTACCAATGTCTTTCGGTGGCCCCAAGAAGAAGGGAAAGAACAAACGGAAGGCAAAGTCCCGAGCACCGAAGGTACAGTCGTCGAAACCAAACAACAAATGGGCGGACAAGTGTATGTACGCGGAGTTGCTGGAGATGACTGAGGATACGAACATGAAAGATTTCGACGATGGTGTTGATGCCGATGGGCTACCGTCAGATATTGAGACTGCATGGGTTGCACTTACACCAGTGCCTCTCGGCAAGAGGTGTCTTGCGATCACACATGCACCCTCAGGGATCGCTGGATTAGGTATGGCGATTGCTCGCCTTCCCCATCTTCACTTTCCTAACGACGTCCGCAGTACCGAATACCACGCTAAGGTCTCGAGTACTCGGGAAGTCATTAATGAAGCCTTTTCCGTCAGCGATCCCGCCACATACAGTTCTTGACTGCATTCTGGACGAGCATTGGCAGAACAACGGCATACTGCATGTCCTCGACGTCGTCAAGTGGAAGGGTCAGGATATTGCGGACTGTGAGACGCCATTCAGGTTCGAGAATTTTTCCTATCGCTCGTTGTCGCCCTCTCATAGGTTTTGCAGGTTCTGGTGGCGAGACACCCGCTTAGCCGAATTGCCCTCGTTCCCTCCGCCGTCGGCCGATTCGGAGCCCTCGTCCAGCCAGTACCGCTTCTCGTATCCAACTACTCTACTGCCCGTCCCCTATCACACAAATCTTTCCCTGCTGCATCTCTCAAGCGTCCTCATCCCACTCTCACGCTCCACAAGAAGTGTCCCTATATCGGTCCCCATCCATGTGTTGACATCGGGTGCCGACGATACGAGTGGCATGAATGTCGAACAAGCAGACGCATCTACACGAGTCGACCTGAAAAGCGAAGAAGCCACGATCAACTCAGACGGCATGCTTTTGTATGTTGCGCAAGCGACGTACGAACCTGGAACGAGCCCGCTGAGTCTGTGGGTACCTGTCCGTGCCTATGCTGGAGACAGGTCATCCACCCAGGAGGTGCCTATAGGGTCTTTCCAAACGACGAGGGAGGGCCCGTTGGACATATTTGAGAGGTATGTATTCTACTGCTGCATATTAGCGAAAGTACTCATCGAAATGTAGGCTAGTCCACAAACGGCTAGCACAGGACTCCTATGCGTCAAACATGGCAATGGAATCATGACCCTGTACATGTGTGTCTCTGATGTGACGAAACAAGGCAGTATACGGAGCAGTCCTACAAGGCTATATTTCTACAGGACTGCCGGACGCCTGAGACGGTAGCTATACAGAGGTAATGCAGCCGATATTGGAATATAACAGGATGTCGCGAGAGTGAATAGCGCATCGCGCAAGGACCTATGAGGTTCCAAGTTCCTCTCATTTTCGACTAACATATTCCATTCCAGAATTTCAAAGATCAAGCCACGACGACTGTAGTCCAGCGCAGACTATCCGCACTATACATAATTTCCATCAAACGCAGCATCACCCAACTTCTCCTAAACAGAATGTGTAGCGGGCTGCGCCGGGCGTGCACAACGCGCACAAACGGCACTGGACGTCGTCGGTGCATGTGTTGTCATACCCGATGCAGGTCGTGCTGTTATCCGTGCAGATGGTGACCGGACCCTCGGAGCTGCTCGTGTACAAGTCCGTGGTACACGTCGTGGTGTTCTTAGGCGTCGGTCCAATGGTGGCGGTGGTGTTGAATGAGATGAAGGCCCGTATAATTGCTCGACTTGAAGCTAGGATGAGTACCCTGTATGGTGCGGAGGGATGGAGTCAGCGACGACCGTGGCAAACGAACCCACGTTGTATATGGCGTACTCCTGCTACTCTTTGGATGATGGCCATGGGCACTCACCGTCGCCAGCACGACAATGTGCGGCAGAGCAGCGGGGGACCATATACGGCGCATCCTGCAGAACCCGCTCTGGGAGCTCCCGGGCAGCTCCTCGGGCGTCGAAGTTGTATACAGCGGTATAATTTGAGCGAAATGACTCTGTGAGTCGCGACGCCACATAGCAAGCGCCCAGCGGGGCTAAATCTGGTACTTTCGACGGGCATCGATAGTACTTGCATCTGAGAAGCGTGCAAGAAGCGTCAGAGGCGGTAAATGCAACAGGGGGATGTCATGGCTCGCCGAGATTCGCGGCAGTTTCCAAGAGAGGCCCGAAGCGGACCCGCTTCAAATTGCGCAGCGAGGGGATACGCGCTCGTTGGATCTTGGAAATGATAGTTGGCAGAGTTGCATACGTGCTCCCTGAGTTTGCCTGCCATGATCATGTACAAGTGTGAGGCGAATGACTATTCGTAGAGGAAAATCACGGGGCAAAAGGAAGGAGAAAACGTCATGCAGACATTTGACGGTTGACGAGGTGCCCTGCGGAACAGGAGACTTCCCAACCGACCATGACTTGCACATGTCAGTTGATCGGTATCAGAGCCAGCGTGCCACACGCCCCGTGAAATGGAGGCGAGGAACAGAGGTGAGTCCGCGATGGCATTTTCCAGTTGTCCGCGTCGAGTGGAGGGGTTTCTGCTCTACAATTGTGGCGGAGACAGATATCTGTCCAGCATGAAACAAATTTCAGCGGACAGTGATGACAGCGTCACGATATCCGAGGGCGGTGCATGGGACGAAGTCCGTGAAGGGAAGTGCAAGGAGAGGATGCGGCGTGGATTTGGAACATTCAAGCAACGACAGCATCATGCTCTAGCCAAAGAACCAGATAATCTTCGCAGTTTTTTTCGTGAAGCCTCGAAAAGATGCCGGGACAGATGGTGGTCGCCGTTCACCGCCGGTTCCCATCTGATGCGCCAACGCCACAAAGCCTCCACCCACGTGCACGCTCACCGCCGCCCCGTCGATGGCGCAACGTCGCACAATGGACCGACGTCCGTGGCGACATTGTAGCAGCTTGTTTGAGCTAGTGTGAGCCCGTTTGTTTGCTTTGCTGTGCGCTTGTATCTGCTGGCCGCATGCTGTAGTTGCAGTCATCTGGTGGGCGGCGTCCGTGATCACTGGAACGAATCGAGTCCCTGGCAAGCTGGTGTGGCGCGTCCCGAATGGCTATCTATCTCTGCATCCAACGCAACACAGCTTCGACATGCTCCCGAGTCTGTAGGCTGTTCTGTATCAAGGACTCAAGCAGGGAAGGTCTCCATGAAAATACGCCGAACACCCTGCGGCGGTCGTTTCGGCGAGCTGGAAATCAGCTGGCGTGGACTGGAGCATTTGCTGGCGACGAAGAATCGCCGCGAGCGGGCTTCCGTGCCAAGACCATGCGTGTCTCTATGGTTCGCCGAGTGTGAGGCGTCGCGGCCTGTTCTAGTGTTTTTGGTGCCTTGGATGGGAAAGTGGTGCCTAAACGAGCGGACTATCGTGGGGTCCATCTCACTCTGGCCCCGAGATGAACTTTCCGGTTTGCAATTTTTTTTTATTCCATTTGCGTGTAGAATATTACTGTGAACACTATGCACAGGCTGCTATGGTACCCGGAGACGCGACCGGGATCAAAAGCCGAGGGCGGGTCGAAAGAGAGGAGAGTAAGGATGACGCGTGGGAGCGTATTATACATAAACAAAACGGAAGCTGCATCCAGAATGCGATCGAGACCATGAACATGAACGGGCGACAGAAGAGGTTTCTCTATGACACACGAGGGGCCCTAGTGGGCACCCCGCAACCCACGGACACGGAGAGAAGACGTCGGAGGCACGCTCATTGCGGCTGCTCGGTCTTCTCGAGCTCGCTGCCGCCGGTGCTTTCGCGGTCCTTGGTGTGGTGGTCGACGACGATCGCCTGCGTGTGCACGTGGTGCGGCTCGCGGCCGCCGGTCGTCGGCGGGACGTCGCCGTGTGAGTGCGCGTCGTCGTGGAACGCGTGGTTCGCCTGCGCGTCGATGCCGACGTAGTCGTACGCGAACTCGCCCATCTCCGCGTCGTCCATGCCGAGGATCTCCGTCTCCTCGTCGCACTTCATGCGGCAGCCGGGGATGTAGTGCATGATCCAGAGGATGATCGTCTGCGGGCGGGCGTCAGCGGGAGATCTGATGCGCGATGGGAGAAGGCACCACGTACGGTCATCACGAACGAGTACGCAAGGCCCGACATCGAGTCGGCGAGCTGGTAGGCAAGCTGAATGTAGTGGTGGTCGAGCCAGCCGCCGTCAATCACGGTGATGCCGTCGAAACCAGCAACGCTGGCCTGCGCGAACAGGCCAGTGAGCAGGTTGCCGACAA